TTGGCAAAAATGTATCTAATAGTCAGAAATACTTTCAAAACTGTCTTCTTTCAAACAGAAAAATATCTGGAAAAATACATAGTATGTAAATATTCAGCTTAGCAAACATTTGCAGGGTATTTCCTATGTGCTCATACTGCATTAAGAGTCATTAATAGCCAAAACAGGTTTGGCTCAGTGGATAGAGCATCGGCCTGCAGACTGAAAGGTTCTAGGTTTGATTCTGGTCAAGGTTGCAGGCACATCCCCAGTAGGAAATGTGCAGGAGGCAGATGATCGTTGTTTCTCTCTCCCCCTTCCTCTCTGTAAAAAATCAATAATATTGATTGAACAGAATGTGAAGGGTCACAAATACATGATGTACTCAGAAATATAAATTATTTTGATTGGATAACTTAAAATGCAAAGAAGATAGTGCTGAAAAGGAGAATAAAAACACAAGAACATGAAATGCCATGAAGGGCCTTGCGTAGAATACAACGGAGTTTTTTTTGATACAGGTGATGGGGAGTCATAATAAGGGGAGCAACATAGCGCCAGGTGTCTAGTGATCAGGGAGGATGAGACAAACTGAAAGTAATAATCAAGCCTTTACTCACTTACTGCAATAGTGTGATCAAGAGGCCAAAAAGGATGTTTTGTTCCCCTTGTTCCATTTCCCCCCTACAGAACAGCATTGAGCTAGGGTCAAGTGACATGAAATTCCAACTGCTGAGGAATTCTGGGAAAAGGAATTCTGCCATTCGATGGACTTGAGGACCAGTGGGAAGGAAAGAGGGAAGGCTAAGAATGAAAAGTCTGAGTCAGAGAAAAGGAAAATGTCGCAACAAAGGGCCTCCAAGTGGAAGTGCCGGGCTAGGAATACAGTGTGCATTCGAGCATGGCTGGCCAAGTGGGATTTCCTGAGTCCTTGCAATCCTTGCAGAAAACCAGAATGCAGGAAACTGGCTGTGCACCAAGTCCCATGTGGGGAGGGCAGCTTCTCCCGTGCGGCCTGCCAAGGAAAGCCAGCACATGGTCGGACTGAAGGATCCGACCACACAGAGGTTTGAGCCTGGAGCTGGATTGCTCAGGTCAGCTCTTTCATCTCCGAGAATCACTCATCGACAATGTGGAAGATGGACTGAATGGAGAGGGTTCACAGAGATGACGAGACAAGCGGGAAGGCAGTGCAATAATCTAGGCTGAACTGATAAAGTGACCGACGCTCGTCCATGTAGGAAAGAACGTGATTCCAGGAAGTGCTAGACTGGAAGAACATGGGGGCAGCAGGGGACTGGAAGACTAGGTCAGGTGCAGTAAAGAGAAGAGCTCAAAGGGCAGGGGGCAGCTATGTAGTGGGGTTTAAGAGCCCATGACTTCCAAGGTGGAATGATTGCAGGCTATTTCAAGGACAATGGTGTATTCAGGTATGCAGAGTACTGAAATAGAGAAGTCAAGAATACAAAGCTATAGTTCCTTTTTATCAAAGAAATCACTCAAGGTGATGGCAGATGGCAGTGACAATGGGTTTAAGAATAACAGAAGTGGACCGCATGAGTTTTTTGTACAAGGATAAAGAGTAATTGTTTGTAAATAGTAGAGCGAGAGAGAGAATATTACTAACTCTCCCAAGTCCAGAGATATGAAGATGTGGAGGTAAGAGGTAGCTTTTTAAGAGGGAATCAGATATTAGCAAGTACTTATCTCTGGCCAGTGTGGCTCAGAGATTAGAGGGTCAGCCCATGTACCAAAGGATCAGGAGTTCTAATCAAGACAAAAAACAATTTTTAAAGCTCAAAGAAGTAGAAAAATACTTATTAATACTGATTTTAAAGTCAGAAATACTTTCTAAGAATGTCTGTGATGCAAGGACTAAAAAAAAGAGGCCATTTAATTTACTCTAGTACTGCACTTCCACCCTAAAAACAAAGCTTACGTTTCTGGATAAGGCAATTTCAATAATTACAGTCTTAGAAAGTAATCTTTTCTGCCCTGGCTGGTTTGGCTCAGTGGATAGAGCATTGACCTGCAGATTGAAGGGTCCCAGGTTCAATTCCAGTCAAGGGCATATGCCTGGATTGTGGGCTTGGTCCCTAGTAGGAGGTATGCAGGAGGCAGCTGATCAGTGATTCTCTCTCATCACTGATGTTTCTATCCTTCTCCCTTCCTCTCTGAAATCAATAAAAAATATATACATCTTTAAGTAATATTTTCTACTACTTACTAAAGCATAATTAAGGATGTGCTTTTAGATGTTTACTCTGAAGCTTTTAATCGAACCCTATATCCTCTGCTTCTGCCCAGGAGAAAAAGCGACTCTGGATCTATGTATCGTTACTCTTCACATGACATATACACTAAGTGGCCATATTATTATGATCTCTGAATGCATAATAATCTGGCCACTCAGTGTACATCCTATATAATAAAAGGATAATATGCAAAATGCAAATTGTCCCCTTGATCAGGAGTTTGACCAGCAGGCAGGCCAGCCAACCACCCATATCTCCCTCCCCCCGTCAAGCTGGCCGGACCCCACCCATGCACGAATTCATGCACCGGGCCTCATACATACACCCTCACACACACACACACAAACACACTGAGTGGCCAGATTATTATTCGTTCAGAGATCATAGTAATCTGGCCACTCAGTGTAGTTTACCCTTTTCACTCTATTGAAGACTTGACTCTTGGGTCCAGCTCTACAAATTCTAAAAAGAAATAGACATAGCTTCTCATTGGCCTAACATAAAAAGAGAAACTATAATCAGTAGCCTGGCTAGAATTGAAGAGGAATGCTTAGAGCTCTAATTCATACATATACAATGGATTTATTCAAGGTGATTTATTATTTTTTTTAAAATATATATTTTATTGATTTTGTACAGAGAGGAAGGGAAAGAGATAGAGAGTTAGGAACATGATGAGAGAGAGTCATCGATCAGCTGCCTCTTGCACAGCCCCTACTGGGGATATGCCCGCAACCAAGGTACATGCCCTTGACCGAAATCGAACCTGGGACCCTTCAGTCACCAAGCCGATGCTCTATCCATTGAGCCAAACTGGTCCCGGCTCAAGGTGATTTATTAAAGGTGACCTGGCTGAGACATTTGTCATTAACTAATTATCAGAGCTAATTGGTCTTATTTGACTAATATAGACTAGTTGTTTCCTTCCTCCCTTACATATCCTACATGCATACCTCCACAAATTGTGTCATCCTAAGTTCTAAACTATTATAGCATTTCAGAACAATACCCACATCCTATCATTACTGAGCTGTTACTGTGTGTCAAATGCTATGCTACTTTATACAGAACTCATGAATCTCGATGACCTTCTGTGTAATGTAAAATATGGCAATTCACTTCGTAAATAAGTTAGAATACTTATTTTTGTACTCTAAATATAATATTTTAACTCATAGACATAGCCTATATAATAAAGAGGTAATATGCAAAATGACCATCACACCCTCGCTCAAGATGACCATCCCCATGTGGTCAAAGATGGCCACCACAAGATGCTGACAGGGGAGGGCAGTTAGGGGCGACCAGGTCAGAAGGGGAAGGCAGTTAGGGGTGACCAGGCCAGCAAGGGAGGACAGTTGCAGGGCACCAGGCCTGGAAGGGAGGGCAGTTAAGGGTGATTGCTGGCAGGGGAGGGCAGTTGGGGGGTGACCTGGCCAGTGGGGGAGGGCAGTTGGGGGTGACCAGGCTGGCAGGGGAGGGCAGTTGGGGGGTGACCTGGCCAGTGGGGGAGGGCAGTTGGGGGTGACCAGGCTGGCAGGGGAGGGCAGTTGGGGGCAATCAGGCCGGCAGGGGAGGGCAGTAGGAGGTGACCAGGCCAGCAGGAGAGGGCAGTTGGGGGCAATCAGGCCGGCAGGGTGCAGTTAGGCGTTGATCAGACTGGCAGAAGTGTGGTTAGGGGTGATCAGGCTGGCAGGCAGAAGTGGTTAGGTGCAATCAGGCAGGCAGGCAGATGAGCGGTTGGAAGCCAGCCGTCCCAGATTGTGAGAGGGATGTTCGACTGCCAATTTAGACCCGATCCCCGAAGAACATCCCCCAGATTGGAGAGGGTGCAGGCTGGGCTGAGGAATACCCTCCCCCCGCCCCCTAGTGCATGAATTTCTAGTAAAATAATAATAAAATAAATATGATTTTGGATAATATGAATAATTCACATCTCTTCCATTAAATATTTAATCAAATCCACTATAAAAGGGTTAAAATATCAAAGGTGTAGCCTTCTTTGTAAGTCCTTATCCCTTCCTGAAAGATGTACTAACATGTTTTAAAGTGAACAAAAGAATGGCAGAAAGAGTGAAAAATCAAGTCATATAAGAAATTGATTAAATCAATTAAGTATTATTTATTTCCCATTTATAAGGATGCTTTATAAAACTTTTTGCTTTTATAAAATTGGTTCACACACAGGACCATAGACATGGAAGCATAGAACAGACAGAGGGAGGCTGGAAGGGAGGGCGGGAAGAGATTAATCAAAGAACTTATACACATATATGTATAGCCCAGGGTCACAGACAATAGATAGGTTAAGGCCTGGGGTGTGGTGGGAGTCCTGTAGAAGGAGGCAAAGAGAGGAAAATGGGGGACATCTATAATACACACAACAATAAAATAAATAGCCAAAACTGGTTTGGCTCAGTGGATAGAGCATCAGCCTGTGGACTGAAGGGTCCCGGGTTCGATTCCGGTCAAGGGCATGTACTTTGGTTGTGGGCACATCCCCAGTAGGGGGTGTGCAAGAGGCAGCTGATCAATGTTTCTCTCTCATGGATGTTTCTAACTCTCTCTCTCTCTCCCTTCCTCTCTGTAAAAAATCAATGAAAAAATATTTTTAAAAAATAAAATAAATAAATTCTGCCTACGTTGCTTCTTTCTTGAATGAATTTTAGCACTCATCAGTAATACTTTAAATAATATGGTAGACAATGTTGAAAATTTATGTTTATCTTTCACAGTGCTAACCAATATGAAAGCAATAGTACTTACCTCCTTTGCACTTTTAATTTTACTCAGAAATGTATGCAGTTCCATTGTTTCTGCAAACAACGCACGGCATACTGCCTGATAATGATTTGGTGCCTCTGATTCACTTGAGAGATGAGCAGCACATAACTACAGAAAAAGAAAATAGTGATGCTTATGATTTGTTTTTATTTTTATGTTTTGTACCTTAAAAAGAGACACACGTGGTATATTTGTATTTTCACATCAGATAGTAAGGCAATTCTGCAATTCCCACTAGTCAAAGCTTAACGCAGCACCAGACCATCAGTAAGTGGTCTACTAAACTAACAAATATCCAACAGCACCTTCAAGCTCACTAGAGTTAGTGTCTATTTGAAAACAGTAGAAAAACAGCAATGATTAGGTCAAGAAAACAAGTAAAATAATCAGTTGTGATAGTTCAGATTCAGAATCTTCCTATAAATAAATGGATTACAATTGTTGTTTATTCTGTTTCAAAAAGAAAAATGCATAAGTCAATTAAAGACATATGATAAACTTCATCAATACCTAAACGTGGTTTTAAAAGGCCATATTGAAGCTCTGAACAAATCACAAAATTGAGAGTATTTTAGATCCTTATTCATTTAACTTTTAGCTAAAGGTCTAAGAACTATTATCAAATACTGAATCATCAATTTTTTTAAGTGAAATAATTCTTGAAAGAAATCAGTACTATGTAAACTGCTGCTTTACCTTCATGACATCTCTATATGACCGGATAGCTGAAATTTTTCTCTTTTCTTCTTCTTCATCTTCCAGGCCTTCATCTGCAGCCTCATAACCCTCATCATTGCTACCATCTGCTTCGACCGTGTTGGCCATGTGATCGATGAGTTGCTCCAGGGGAGGACTTAATTCTCTTTCTTCATTCTCCTTCAAACCATAGTCCAGTGCTTTATAAATAATAATTCCCAAAGATTCAATAACCTAGAAACATTAAAAAAAAAAAAAAGTGGTTAATGGAGGTAACTAAACATTTTTATAGAATCATAAGATCTTCAGCTGATTAGGAAGGCTCACACATATTAGGGAGGGCAATTTGCTTTGCTCAGTCTACCAATTTAAAGGTTAGTCTAGTTAAAAACCCCTTCCCTGCCCGCCCACAGTAGCTCAGGGTTGAGCATCAACCTATAAACCAGGAGGTCACGGTTTGATTCCTGATCAGGACACATGGCCCGGTTATGGGCTCAATCCCCAGTTGGGGGCATGCAGGAGGCAGCCAATCAATGAATCTCTCTCATCATTGATGCATCTCTCTCTCTCTCTCTCTCTCTCTCTCTCTCTCTCTCTCTCTTCCTCTCTCTCTCTCTCTCTCTCTCTATTCCTCTATGAAATCAATAATAAAAATTTTAAATATAAATAAATAAACTTCCCTATTAAAATACCAATGGCATACTTCATAGATCTAGAACAAATACTTCAAAAATTCATATGGAACACAAACAAAAAAAAATCCCCAAATAGCCACAGCAATCTTGAGGGGGGGAAAACAAAGTTGGAGGGATCACAATGACAGATATCAAGTTATACCACAGAACTGTAGTTATACTATAAAGCTACTGTAATCAAAATAGCTTGGTACTGGCACAAGAATAGGCATATAGATTAAATGGAGCAGAACAGAGAATCCAAAAATAGGTCCACACCATTATGGTCAATTAATATTTGACAAAGAAGGCAAGAACATACAATGGACTAAAGACAGTCTCTTCAACAACTGGTGCTGAAAAAATTGAATATCAACATGCAAAAAGATGAAACTAAACACCAATTTACACCATTGACAAAAATAAAGTCAAAATCTGTAAAAGATTTAAATGTAAGTTGTGAAACTATAAAAATCTTAGAAGAAACTATAGGTAGCAAAACCTCAAACATCTCAGTTGCACAATTTTCGCCAATACATCTGCTAGGGCAAGAGAAAGCAAAAAATAAACAAATGGTACTACATCAAATTAAAAAGCTTCTGCACAGCAAAAGAAACCATCATCAAAATAAAAAAGGAACCCAATGTATGGGAAAACATTATTTGCCAATGATACATCTGATAAGGAGTTAATATCCAAAATATATAAAGAACTCATACATCTCAACAAAAGGAAAACAAACAATCCAATTTTAAAAATAGGCAAAGGACCGAAATAAACCTTTCTTCAAAGCAGATATACAGAAGGCCAAGGGACATATGAAAAAAGTAAAAAATATATTTAAAATGTTTTACTACAATATATAAAATGTACTACTTATAGTTAATAGCATATTCGGACATATTATTTATTGATATTAAAACAAACAAGTTACCAAAATATGAATATAACTATCACATAGAAGTTTTTATTTCTAAACCAAATCCTGCCTCTTTCAAACTCGTTCTTAAATTCTGATTCTGCACCAGAGGTTATGACTTTTGTGCTGGAAAATTACTGACTTCACTTTTCAGTTCACAATTGCTTTCCTTGTTTCACTCTTTTTTTAAAAACCTCCATGGACTTGCTCCAGTCTACTTCACAGACCTTATTTCTTTCTACTCCCTTTCTTACTTGTACAGTGCTGACCTACTAATTGTCCTTACAGGCAATCTAAATCTTGTAGAAGCACTTCTATTCAAAACGCTGCCAAAGTACACTGATTTTCCTAAATCTTTTATTTTTTCAAACTTCAGTCTTTTGTTAACCTTTTAATTTAAAACTTCATCCCTGCTTCAATTTAAATTTTTCAGCTTTAGACGGACGGGGTCAAAAAGTTTTCTTCTACTAATTGACCAGTTTCAAGGCACAAAAATCTCACTGGACTCAGTGTGGTCAAGGCCACATCTGTTTTGGTCACTGTTTTATTCTTGGCACCCAGCAAAGGGTATGGATAGTTATTCATGTATATTATTAATATTTTGTTGAAAGAGTGAATAGTTCTTTTCCAACGAAACACCAAATGGCAGTTGATGCCAGTGCTGCGGGAAAGCCTAGAGGCCCCAGCGGCCCCCCCAAAGGGGAGGTTATGGCAATTTGGCAGTGGCATCTGGGGCCGGGGTCATGGCCAGGGTTGGGCTGGGGCCGAGGTAGTGGAGCTCGTGGAGGCAAGGCCGAGGACAAGGACAAGGAGTGGATCCCTGTCACCAAGCTGGGCCGCCTGGTCAAGGACATGACGATAAATTCCTAGAGGAAATCTGTCTATTCTTGCCCATCAAGGAATCTGAGATCACTGACTTTTTCTTGGAAGCATCACTCAAGGATCAGGTCTTGAAGACCCGTGCTGGCCAGAGGATCCAGTTCAAGGCATTTGTCGCCATTGGGTCTACAATGGACCTATTGGTCTGGGTGTTAAGTGCTCAAAGGAAGTAGCCACTGCATTCAGTGGAGCCATCATCCCGGCCCAGCTCTATTGTCCCTTTGCAGCCAGGCTAGTGGGGAAACAAGCTCGGCAAGCCCCACACCTGTTCCTTGCGGGGTGACTGGCCAATGTGGCTCTGTCTGGTGCACCTAATCCCAGGTGACTGGCCGATGTGGCTCTGTCTGGTGCACCTAATCCCTGTCTCGGCCCCTGTGCCTAAGAAGTTGCTGATGATAGCTGGTATTGAAGACTGCTATACCTCGGCCAGGGGCTGCACTGCCACCCTAGGCAACTTCACCAAGGCCACCTTTAATGCCATCTCTGAGACCTACAGCTATCTCACCCCGGATCTCTGAAAAGAGACTGTGTTCACCAAGTCTCCCTACCAGGAATTCACTGACCGTCTTGTAAAGACCCACACTAGAGTTCCTGTGCAGAGGACCCAAGCTCCAGCTGTGGCCACCACATAATTTTATGCAAGAAAAATAAAGTGAATTAAGCCTGCTTAAAAAAAATGTGAATCAAAGAAATGCAGCTTAACGTAGATTTTTTAGTAATAGCTAACATCTATTGAGCTTATTTACATGTGTAAGGGCCTGTGCCAAACATTTGTATGCATTATCTTATTTAATTCTCGTCATAGTACTATTACGGAGGTACTACGCATATTATCCCCTCCCAATTCCAGAGATAAAAAAGTTGAGATTAAAAAAATAATTAAGTAAACAAGGGAGCCAGAACTCAAACCAGGTCCGCCTCAAAATCCATGAACTTAACCAATGCTCAGCTCTATTCACACAGAGTCAAAGGCAACACAGCTACGGCCAGGAACAGAAAGTGAAGGAGGAAGACACTCGCGACCACAGACCACTCTAGTGGGGCACTGGGAGAGGAGGTCCAATGGCAACGTGCCCCTCTGGGCTTTCAGTGGAGAAGGCAGCCCTACTCTTTCTACAACCTGTCTTCAAACAGGCACACAGGACAGAAAAGGCACAAAAATTTCCACAGTCCATTGAATGTTTCTCTCGGCCCCAGATGCTACTGAAATTGCTCTTATGTAAAACTAGCTCATTCTGAGGGGTTCACCTCATAATTTCTGAAGCAAAAGGCTTCTGTGCTAAACTGGAAAAAAGCAAACAAACAAGTACAACCTGAGAAGAGTCAGGGCAAGGACAGCCGCTAACAACCAGCTGCCAGTTCCTTCTGGTTCTACTCCAGTCACAGCCACCACCCTCAGCATTCACTTTTCCCAGGCAAAACAGGGAAGCAGGGACCAATATTTTTAAGGATTAAATTATGTTTTGCAACACATGGAGTACTTTCATGTCACTACGATATAAGGTTATCAAAATATGAAATTTTCCATTGACCTCATAGACATTTTATCTTCATAAAGCAAATCTGTATGAATAAGTAACAGAGATTTGCAATCTTTAAAGGCTTAAATACATAATAAATATACTTTCAGGACTAGTTGAGCTCTGAGGATATTTTAATCTTGCTTCTTTTGGTAGCATTTTTCCTCTTTCAGTAACACGTAGCAACTGAAATGCCATTTTATTTTTTTTAAATATATTTTTATTGATTTCAGAGAGGAAGGGAGAGGGAAAGAGAGATAGAAACATCAACGATGAAAGAGAATCATTGATCGGCCGCCTCCTGCGCGCCCCACACTGGGATCAAGCCCAAGTCTGCAACCCGGGCATGTGCCGTGACCGGGAATCGAACCAGTGACCCTGTTGGTTCCTGGGTGATGCTCAACCGTTGAGCCACACCCGGCTGGGCCTGAAATAACATTTTAAAAAGGCATATCTCATAACTTCTGAATGGGTTATGTTCCAAAATTCTCTTTGATGAAGCCTGGAAATTATAAATTATTTTTTTTCAATAAAAAAAGTTGTAAACTGTTCCTTAACTGGAAAGTACACTGCAAGTACCACGCACCCCCTCTAACCCTTGGAGCCCCGAGCAGAGAGAACAGCAGCATCAGTGCTGTGCAGGCCCTAAGAACCAGCAGTGAAAAGCAGCGGAGAAAAGAAAGCACGGGGATTCCCAAAGGAAGCCCTTCTCAGCACAGGTGGGCAGGAGGGCTGCTGCGTCCTGGCCAGACAGGCCAGAGGGCCACCTTTCCGGAGTCCCGCCCTCCTATGTGCATGTGTCCCTGCTTGTAGTTGGTGAAATGAGTCATGCAACTCATGGCTTCTTCAGCCTTAATATAAACTCGCTAAGGAGTGCTTAGTCAAATTTATATCTACGAACAACACGTAACCATTTACTGTCCCCTTTATTTTTACAGGTGAGAAAAGAGATTCTGCAGATCATTTGCCAAATGTCATAAAGCCAGTGATACGGCAGTGAACCAAACCGAAACAATCCCTGCCCTCCAAAGCTGACATTTTAGAAGAGAGACAATAAACAAGATTAACAAATAAATTACAGTATTATTAGATGGTGCTGCATGCTATGGAGGAAAAAAAAAATGCAGGGTGGTGGTAGCAGTAGCAATTTTAAATATAAAAGTCAGTTTAGACTTTACACCAAATAGTTAACATAGAAGCAACTGGAAGGAGGTGAGAGAGCAGTTCTGTGAATATCTGGGA